TTATTTAAATATTTTCTTTCATCGTTATGTTTACAATATCGAATAGATACCTTGATAGTTAGTAGGAAAAAATCATTGCAAAGCTCACGACCAGTGATAATAGTCGTATATCATCACCATTGGATCCATTAACCGTAATATGTTTACTTAATTAGGACACTTTGAATAAAAAGATCTTGAGTCGGTTGCCGAACTTAAGTGTTTGATTATCAAGTTTTTCCTTTGATTTTTGACACCTTAAGCTTGTACCAAATATTATGGATGGAGCCATACCTAGCACACTTGCTCGTGTAAACAATTTGAAGCACATAATATATGCCACGAGTCTTTGACAATTTTATGGATACATATCAAATTATCTTTGCATAATATTATTTAAATCTATTAATATTATTACCTAGTATTATTATTTTATTTTTTTTAACACTATAATATATATATTATTATAATTCTTTTTTTAAAATTATGTATCCTCAAATACTCTGATATTAATATGCCAGCCACCTTTAAGTTTTCTCTATATAAAAAGTAAATTTAAGACAGAACTGTAACTCAAGTCACGACAGTCTCTCTTTTATACTTTTAACAAAAGAAATTATATAAATATGACTATTTTTGATCTAACCTAATCAGACGTCCACGCACGTCTATCTAATATAACTTATTAGTATTGTACATTTCGTAATAAGTTTTTTTGAATGAATAATTTTTTTTTTGAGCTTGAGCCCAGCAACTTTGACCATTAGCTGGTTTTTTTGCTTGTAGGTTGTTTGTAGTGAGTAGTAATGGTTGGTTAAAACACGTTAGTATGTGTGGCAACTATTTGTTGCTAAAAATGCCGGGTGATCACCCATCCGGGATCTAGTAACAGCGGCCGATATGTACACTTAACACCTTTCCGCAGTTATAATGTCCAGATATTCACACTAAGCCAAAGAATATGATTATCCGTTACTTGAAACATTAGTTTTGTATTTCTCATATAATATTTTTGGTCGACACTAAGTATTGACGTTAGTAGGTACACATCTTTTACTAAAGTCTCTCCACCTAGTGAGCAGGAGACAGGGCACGTCTCTTTCAGAACAATTATCAATTAGGTACTCAATTAAGTCTTTAGATTTACAAATGATTTATATTTTGTAGACGGGATAATTTTAAAGAGAGACTGTGTGAAGTACAGAATATTGTGCAGCCAATAAATAGGTATGTGATCTGCTGTGTACATTTAAACATATTTTGTTAAAATATATTATGCATTTGAACATTTATTACAATTTACGACTATTGTATATTAATTTCAATATAGATTTTTTTTTACACTAATTATAGTATTATCAAAGTCAAATTAGAAAAAAGTTCGGAACTAATTCCACGAAAGCTGGATTTTTATTTTTATTTTAGTTTACACCCACCCCTTGTGTGTATTCCTCCACCCCTCTTCAATGGGTGGCGTGCCCCTTTCACTGTTTTCGCTTAAACATTTTTAACTTTTCAAGTTACAATAAAAAAAACCTGTGACCAAAATTAAAGACCAAACAATTACCATTGACTTATTTTACTTTATTGCATTTGCGATATATTTTTGCAAATTCCGAAACCACATATACCATGGTCATCATAATATACTGATAACAATGTATACACATCTTAAATACCAAGTTATTTGATATATCAATGCCCCCGAACTACAGGATAGTGGGGCTTGGAATGTTACAAGCAAGCTGAGTCCTATGACTCTTTATGTAAAATTGAACGGAATCGGATGGGTGACCGATTACACGTAATATTTTTTGTACTTTTTTTCCATTAGATTATTGTTGTATGTACCGAGTGAGTATGTGTATGCCGGCTGAGTGTAATATATGGTGAGTCTATACATGGGGGGTGAGTCAAGGGCTTATTTTATACGATTTTCGAAATTTAAAAAAAAACGATTACAAGAAAATTCGTTGGTTATTATCAGGGCTCGGGACTTAAAGCATTTGCTTATTTTTTAGATTGACATAAAATGTAGCAGAGTACTATAGAAGTATATGTCATGTTACAACACATTCAATTATGAAATTTGAGAGTGCTTTTTTTTGCTTTTTTCAGTGATTTTTCAAAAAAATGCTTATTTCAAGTTTTTATGATATTTATTGATTTTTTGACCAGTTTTCATACTTTTTTAAGGTTTTCTACTGCAAAGTTGTTTTTGATAGAATTAAAATTAAAAATAATTTAAATAAAAAAATTTATTAAAATTTATTAAAAAATTATTTTTTTTCAACTATTTGTAAATATTGTTTACATTTTATTTTTCAGAAAATCCCTCGGAAAATCCATAAAATCCTCAGTCCTGAAAATGAAGTTTAATTTTTTTTATAATATAAAGATAAATTTTTATTTTTATTTTATTGTTTTTTTTTTTAATAAATATTTTTGCTTAAATTTAAGTTTTTTAAATGCTTATTTGAGTGCTTATAATGATGTTTTAAGTGCTTATTTTAATGATTTTAAGTGCTTTAAGTCCCGAGCCCTGGTTATTATACACGGATAGTATACTGCGGTAAAACATAAATGCACAATGAGATCCCTGACGCCGTGATATTGATGTAAGGCTCACCAAACTTGCGCAGGGATGGTAGCTAAGGGTACTAGTAACGAGCTGTGGAGGTTTCAAGTCGGTAGGTGGGCACTGACGGCCGAAGTCTGGTCGATCGCCCTGCAATCACCCGGGTGGTTGTGCAAATACCACTTTAATAAATAAATTAAAAATCGAATAATTGAGCGATCGACTCGAAACCTGTACCATTAGATTGAACACGTCTCCAGCTACCATCCCTGCGAGTTTGGTGACCCTCCCAAAAATATCACTGATACGGTGATCTCATTGTGCATTTTTGGTACAGCCATCCGCATACGGTACCTTTTATGCTATATTTACGTTTAATCGTGTTTTAAAACATTTCAAAAATCATGTAAAATCAACCTTTTGACCGATCGTTTTGAAACTTTCACAGATCGTAGCGAGTACCCCGGGCTACCATACCTGCTATACTCGTGTATAACACTCTAAAATCTCGTTGTCCAGCAACGGACGGCTGGAGTGCGGCCGATCGCCGAGCAATCACCCTATGCCGTGCAAATATATTATGAATTAATTAATTAAAAATCGATTAATTGTGCGATCGACTTAAAACCTGTACCATTAGATTACAGACGTTCCAGACTACTATAGCTGCAAATTTGGTGTATAACACTCTAAAATCCCGTTGTCCAGTAACGGACTGCTGGAGTGTGGCCGATCGCCGAGCAATCACCCATATGCCGTGCAAATATATTATGAATTAATCAATTAAAAATCGAATAATTGTGCGATCGACTTGAAACATCCAAAGCTTGTTACTAGTACCCTTAGCTACCATCCCTGCAAGTTTGGTGAGCCTGACATCAATGTCACGGCGTCAGGGATCTCATTGTGCATTTATGTTCTACCGCAGTAGTATTCGTGTATAATAACCAACGAATTTTATTGTAATCATTTTTTTCAAACTTTCGTAAATCGTATAAAATCAATCCTATCACCTATCGACTTGAAATTTTCATATGCCGTTACTAGTACCCTATAATCTATATTATATCGTACCTATATTATACCTAATAATATTAGGTTTATACTTTATTATATTATTTAAACGCAAATTTAAATATTTATAGTTACGCTATGTCGCTATTGTACCTTAACGTCCTTAACTATATATTACCTACATTTGGTTATTTATTATTTTAATGTGCATAGGATAATTTGTTTTTCTGATCCCCCCCCCCACACACACACACACACAGACACACAGACACACACAAAATGTATGTATACACCACTGAATGGTGTACGTTTCAAGTCGGTGGTATTTGCACATTGACCCGGGTGATTGCAGCGATCGACCAGACTTCGACAGGTATGGCTTATCTATAAATATTATTATTCAATGGTTTATTCGCAGAATAACCGTGGGATTCCCGCATACCGATAACATCTATGTGACCGCCGCCGCCGCTCTCCGATCCCCACTTGCCATACACACAGCGTGTCGTTTAATAGCAGAACTCATTACATTAATATTTAATATTGTTCATTTCATTTCTCTCCCGCGTCGGACCCAACTTGCGTTGCTCAAGTGCAGTTCCAATTGCAGATTACAGGTATTATATTTATATTATTACTTATTAGTTATTATAAGGGTCCAGACTTATATGCAAATGCATATTCTTCTATAATTCACCTAGAATAATTTTGATTATAAATGTCTACGTTTCGTAATGTGTACTTAAATTTAAAAATCCGCTTATTCAATTCACGTGTAATTATTTAGTAAATCATGGATATTTATTTCACGTGTGCTTAAAACATAATATTTACTGAATTCGTTAAATTTTAATATATTTAAAAACATTTGTTAATAAATTTCGTAAAAACTATAAAACTAAAAAAATGTATCCCTACTGTACGAGAACTTAACGAATTAATGTCATGTTGTAATAGTATTTGCCGTGAATTATTTAAATTTAAAAGTTTTATAATTTCCCAATCTCTCCGTACTCTACTGAAACACCCTGTTTATTTTTAATTTTTAATAAAAGATTTTATCTTATTAAATTATGATATCAAATGACAATAATAAATAATAATATAGGCAATAAAATATATATATTTATTATTTATATAATGGGTTGTTTTTCAATTATAAACATTGTTCTACAAAACTATAAAAGTTATTATTATTTATTTCTTATTACTTATAACTTATAATCAGTGGCGCATTTAGAATATATCCGCCCCGGGGCGAAATTATTTTATTGCCGCCCCCCCCCCCTTCTGGTCACTACTCATTACAACCTCAGACCTACCATAGGGTTTAACAGTATACAATTTCAAAAGGTTTATTCAATGAAAATATCATACCAAATACTTAATGACATAAGTCAATTTTTATTTATTTTATTAAACAGTTTAATTACAATTTTTTTCTTGCCTGTTGGTTGGCAAATTCATCAATAATGTCATCATATTGGAGTTCATTTGTCAACTTGGATTCTATATTGAGCATGGCTAAGGAGTTTAACCGTTCTATTCCAATTGTAGACCGTAGATAATTGTTGACTCTTTTAAGAGCAGAAAATGATCTCTCTGCAGAACAATTGCTAGTTGGAGTACATAATAGCATCCTAAGAGCTATGTCTACATATGGATAAAGTTCAATTAGGTTATTCACTTTTATAAAAGTTAACAAATCCTGAGCGGTCCCTGGGACTATTTTCTTCATTTTTTTTAAACTTAGTATGTGTGCTCTGAAGTGGACACATTCATTTGGAAAAGTTTTCCCAAGATCATCCTTATATATTTGCTGTAGAACTGCAGCCTTTTCTCTTACCTCCACAGTAGTAATTTCCGTAATACAAAATAAAAACTGGTATTTCTTGTTTAACTCATCATATGCATTTTTTCTTTTTATGAGCTCAGCCTGAATTCTATCCAAGATAGCCAGATAAGTGGTGACTTTAAAATCAATTGCATTGCTATTATCTGTAGCTGGACCATCATCAATAAATGTTTTTCTATTTTTTGTTCGTTTCTTTGTACTAACAAAGTCTTCAATTCCACACTTTTCAATCCCTAACTTTTTGTAGTATTCATATTCACTATCTGTTCGTAAGTCATTCACATAACAAATCGATGATTGATATATTTCAGCAACTTTAACCAAATCCATATCAACAGATTGTAATCTTTTGCTACTTAAATTAAAACGTTCAAGCAGATGGCCCCATAATATAGACATGAAAGCTGTTTCTAAAGATAATAATTTTTGTAAAACACCATTAGCTTCACATCGTGTAGCTGGCTTTTGAGATTTATCATTTTTTAAATTTTCTAGAGCATTAATAATTAATTTCCAATTATTATTCAATGATTTACATGCGTCATCTCTAGCAGACCATCTAGTGTCTGATAAACTTTTAATAGATGACTTTAAAATATCCCAACGATATGTTGATGCTGAAAAAAATGTATAGAGTTTTTGGAGCAAGTCAAAAAACATCACTGCATTTTTACAAGAACTAGCAGCATTTGTGCCTACTAAGTTAAGAGAGTGAGCTGAACAGGGTACAAATTGCGCAAGTGGACTAACAGCTTTAATCTTGGCTTGCAGACCAGAATAAATGCCAGACATATTGCTGGCATTATCGTAAGATTGTCCTCTTAAGTTAGAAATGTCCAAATTAAAACTTTCAATTGTTGAAAGAACCACTCCAGCCATTTGTTCAGCTTTATGGCCAACATTATCTAAGAAGCATAAAAATCGTTCCACTGGTTTTCTATTTTCATCAACATCAGAAGTTAAAGTAATTTAAAATTTACCTTCTGATGGGGGGTTTGTGCACAAACAAGAAACTTCTGTTGATGTTTGTTGGTTATAGATAGTATTTTCCTCAGTGTTTATCGATACAATTGGCATCAAGTCTTCTGATGAGTTAATCTGGTTATCTTAGAAAATAAAAATGTACTTCATAAAAATAAACAATGTCATAAAAAATTTTTAAATAAAAAAACTAAATGTAGTTAAGGCAGTTATACAATTTCCATGATGAATTAAGTTTTTTTTAAACTTCAAGCTATAAAATAATGTAATAAATAATTTAACAATTATTACTTTGACGTTTAGCTTTAAACAAATCTTCAATATTTCTACATTTATCAAGAACAGCCTTATTTTTTGCTTGCTTTATTTGTTTATCTGTAAGCTGCACCACTCAGTCTTTTACGACCATCCATGATGATTGATGACTAAAATCCTAATAACTAACAAGCTAAAGCAATAAGCAATAAGCATTACATGCAATTTATTCTAAAATCATCTATAATTATGCAAGCAAGAGTAATATGGTATTTTGTATTTCAACTTACTGGGTATGTTTTGTAAAATAACACCAACACAGCAGCACGCGAGTATGACGAGTATGTAGGTACTATAAAAACCACAAAAATTGAGTATATGTGTTTATGACGTATTATATAAAAATTATACCTTCAATTTTGAATTCTAAACGGCTTGAATTCGTTTAGTAATAAATAATAATTCGTTTTATACGTCATCAGTCGACAATCATACATTCATATCACAATATCTGCACATCCAACTCAAAATGATTTGATACGATAATCCATTATCACAAAATCGTCATCATAAAATATTATACCTTATACAATTTATATACGTTAAACAATGTTATATTATATTATTTTGTGATACAAAAAAAAAATAAAAAATACACTCGATGTTTTATAAATGGAATAATTAAATTATTTAAACCTCATTTTATTTTGTAGCGACAAATGTTAGTATGCCGCCGCCCGAGAGTGCTGCTACAATAGTGCAAGATGCGTCAGACGACCACCTAACCACTGTACAACCGATCGTCAATGTTTGCATATCAATAACCATTCATTCAAATGAACCGGAGACCACAAATGTTTCACGGAAAAGAAAAAAACTTAAAATCCGTATAAATAAGTGTCGTTCAACTAATCCAATGACAACCAATGTGGTCATAATTGCACAGGAAGCAGATAATTCGTCTGAATCTGATACCTGCAGACATGACGAGTCAAGTGATGAATTTGAGAATAACCCCAAAAAGGCAGAAGAAGGAGATGATGATGAAGATGAAGATGAAGATGATGATGAAGATGAAGATGAAGATGATGATGATGAAGAAGATGATGATGATGAAGATGATGGCAAAATGTATCCGTGCCCTAATTGTCCCAAAACTTTCAGGTACAAAAGTTGGCTAAAAAGACATTCAATCATGCATGAACGAAAATTCCCATGCACATATTGCACTGAAACATTCAAAAAAAAGTTACAGTTACAGTTGCACATGCAGATGCACACTGGCCAAAAAAGATTTAAATGCCCCGACTGCAATGCTTCATACAATGATTCGTCCAATCGATCAAAACACTGGCACCTAAAACACAACCCAGAGGCTGATCAATATAAGTGCAATAGATGTGGAGAAACATTTAGTTGTGTGAGAAACTTAAGATATCATAATTATGCACACGACGGTTACAAGCCATTTGCGTGCAGCATAATATGTGGAATGGAATTTAGTAGCCCGTCATACTTGTCGAAACACAAAAAAAAAGCACATTCTATGATGAAGACAACATGACTATTGCATACCATTTGATTGTACTTTAATTATATTACTATAATTATAATTCTTTTTTTAAATTATGTATCCTTAAATACTCTGATATTAATATGCCAGCCACTTTTAAGTTTTCTCTATATAGAAAGTAAATTTAAGACAGAACTGTAACTCAAGTCACGACAGTCTCTCTTTTATACTTTTAACAAAAGAAATTATATTAAATATTAATATTATTTTTGATCTAGCCTAATCAGACAACCGGGCACGTCTATCTAATATAACTTATTAGTATTGTACAACTCGTAATAAGGTTTTTTTGAATGAATGATTTTTAGCTTGAGCCCAGCAACTTTGGCCATTAGCTGGTTTTTTTGCTTGTAGGTTGTTTGTAGTGAGTAGTAACGGTTGGTTAAAACACGTTAGTATGTGTGGCAACTATTTGTTGCTAAAAATGCCGGGTGGTCACCCATCCGGGATCTAGTAACAGAGGCCGATACGTACACATAACACCTTTCCGCAGTTATAATGTCCAGATATTCACACTAAGCCAAAGAATATGATTATCCGTTACTTGAAACATTAGTTTTGTATTTCTCATAATATTTTTGGTCGATACTAAGTATTGACGTTAGTATAAATAGATTAATAATATTTTATATTAATAAGTATATTGTTTTAAATACTTCGCACAAACCTAAGGTGATATCCGGCGTATAGTATATGCAAAAATTATACAAAAATTGTACGTAGGTAGGCATAATATATTACTTGGCGAGGTGAAACGAAGACAGCCTTTGGACTGTGTGGTCTCTAGTATTTTATACATTGCGCTTTTGGGATTAAACGTATACATTCTTCTACCTCGCCCAGTTAACATATTGACATATTGTCCATGGCAATAAATATTTAATTTAGGTCTAAAATTATGTGGTCAACATATGTTTGTGAAGCCGCTTTTTCTAAGATGAACTTTATTAAAAACAATTTCAGATCTCGGTTAACAGATGAACATCTTAAGGAGTTAATGCAAATCAGTTGCACTAACTTCACTCCAAATATTAGGAAGCTCGTGAAAACTAAAAAATGTAATTTTTCACATTAAAAATGAAATATTTCAAGTATAATCTTTTTTTTTTTGCAAATTCAATTTAAATAAATAAATATAAATACAAATTTAAAAATGTATATACCTATTTATTAATGTGTGTAAAATACAATTTGAATAAGTAAATAAATATAAATACAAATTTAAAAAATGTATATACCTACCTATTTATTAACGTGTGTATAATACAATCTGAATAAATAAATAAGTATAATCACAAATTTATAAATTATAAATACCTATTTATTAACGTGTGTAAAAGTCATTGAAACTGTTTGGACCGCGTAAAGTTTGGTAAGTTTCAAAACGGACCCCCATAGAAATTAGTTGGTGACCCCTGGTCTAAATAGTAAATTTTGTAAGCCCCAAAATGTATTGCTAACATATCTAGTATATTTTAGTATATGATTATGGTAGACAAATAGGTAGGTAACAAAATAAATAAGATAAAAACAATTTGAAACATAATTTATATAATTATTTATATATTTATATAAATATTTTGAAATAGGCTCCACTATCATTTACAATTAAAAACTAATGATTTCCGGCAATTAATTTTTGCAATATCGTTCTCAATTCGTTGTAACTTCATGGGTCTAGAATGAAAAGGTTCTCAATCGTTTTTATGAAATTGTCCAGGAGAGCAATTTTAAGGTTTGAGTTAAAATATCTTATTCCTTGAAAAACATTTTGTTAAAATTAAAGTTCTAAGACATGTAGCAACTTGTATAGTTTAATTCACATCATTTTAATAATTAATAATAATTAAAAAAAAAATACATTCAATTAGAACTTTTTCATTCTTAACTATTATTTGTATTATTGTTAGTTGAAACCTTTTCAGAATAATGCTTTCTCATTGCTACCAACCTTCTAACACAAAACGATGTAATAATAATTATGAAACATCGAAATCTATATATCGATCGTAAAATTCTGTGGAGTGGGTATGAATAAAATAAATGCAATTAATAATTATTAATAATTATTCGGTACTGCTTAGTATAATATTTCTTAATTTATACTATTTTATAGATTGTACCTAATGATTGTATTATGTACTGACATAAGTAAGTCTGAAGAGAAAATGTAGTACATTTTGATCTTTCGTTGTATCTAATATTATAATTTCATTGACCCTTTCATAAAAAATGAAACCAAAAATAATTATCCTTTAAAATTATGTACTTATTCATATTTTTAATTATTCACTCGGTTACTAGTAAATGTTTTGAACTTAAAAAAAAATGCATTTGTGTGAAAGACCAAAATTGTGTATAAAGCATCGGCCAAAGCAACCACATACATTTGTATTGCTAACATATCTAGTATATTTTAGTATAAGATTATGGTAGACAATAGGTCACAAAATAAATAAGATAAAAACAATTTGAAACATAATTTATATAATTGCACTTTACAACAAACAATAAAATAACTACAGCGCTGTAAATAAAAATGTTTAACCCTCAATTATTGAAACCATAAAATTACAGTACCTATAATTATTCAGTTGTTAGGTTAGGTTAGGAAACAAAATTTCAGAAAGTGAATCTTGATTAAAGCGTAAATAACAAATTTTAAAAAATGGTATTTGGCTAAAGTTATATAGGTAGTTTTGACACCTTATTAAAGTCTTTAAACTTATTTAGAGACATCTGTAAGACAATAAATGTTTTTTTGAGTTGACTTTTACTAAAGATCTAACAAATGACAATGGTGAACAAATATCTATTTTTTTTTTATATATTTCTCATTCTGTGAATATGCATTATCCACTTCTTGGATGCACGAGTGGCCTGGAACTGAATACTTCATTGTAACTGATTTTGTTTTGGGATTTTTCAACATAAACCCAATAATGGCCGTTGACATTATCTTATTTCAGTTTTATTGTGGCACACAGCTATCGGACCATGTAACAATATTTAGTATATCCAAATTAATATCAACAATATGTTGTAATATGTTAATAAACGCACTTGCAAGGTCATTACCCGATCTATCAACAATTGTTTCATTCCAAATAGCATAAAATATAGTATTGGAAGTAGACAAATGAGCTGTGAGGTTATAAAAATTTAATTTTTTTTTATAAAAGGCTGGGCCGACATTTGTTTTTGGAAGTGTGATTACATTTTGAAAGTTAAAACAAACAACTACATTTTCTTGATCACATCTATTTTTGTCTTCATCTCCATAAAGTCTCCATTTTGTCTTTCCATTCTCATAGTATCTTTTTTAAGTATATGTTCTTCATACTGACATTGTTTATTACTTGATAATTTAAATTCCACACATGTAGCACATAAATCATTTTTAGGAAGGAAAAATCCATAGTTGAAATTACAATTAAATAATGATCTATTCAGGTGAGCTTTTACCGGCGTTCTAGGATTCTAATCTATAAAGCATTTATTTGTATATAGATTGTACATTTTTGATATGTGCAACTCAGAATCTAAATATTGCTCTTTTGTATCATGTCGGCAATAATGTGATTCAACAGTAGAGAAACTAGATATATGGTCTATGGCATATTGTTTGTCCTCTGCATTAATATGACTAGTTGTATTCTTGTCTCGCTTTTCATCAGGCGGAGTTAATGATAGTGGGTTCATTGATGAATGACAATTATAAATAACCTTTTGGCTAATACATAATGTGTTTAAGAACATTTTTTGCAGACTCTAATCAATAATGTATCAATTTTGTAGAAATTATACTGCTAAAATTTTGTCCTTTGATTTATTTTTATTTTTTGAAGTAATTAAGGATTTATAATTAAGTATAAATAAAATTTTATCATTTCTGCTGACACTGTAGTAGATACATGTTCAAGACCTTTTTCAGTCAAATCATTGATTGATTGTTTCCAATTTTTGGGATTTCTTTGTTTTTTTTCTGGTAAACTTATTATCCATTTTGATTGGTGCCTTTTCTGATGGTGATTCTTCACAAGATGATTATTCAACTAATCTAAAACATGACAAATTATTTTAATTTTGTTATTAAATTACATTTTGATGTATTTACTATCTTATATTATAATTACTAAAAGACATAGATTTTTAAATGTAATTTGGGTATTCTTAGGTATAGCATGCACTCTGTGCAACATGTTTGCCTTTATGCAATACACTTTTAGTCTATTTCTATAAGGTTAATATAAAAATTAATAAAATAGTAAAACATAGTACAATATTATAACATAATATACAAAAATAAATTGTTCAGTGTAAATTAGTATTATATATTTAGTATATTTAATGTATAAACATAAAACATTAAGGTATTTCTAGTTATTTTGTTATTAATACATGCAGGCTTTCAATAATTATATATTTATCTGATACTAATATTAAGAAATGTTTTTATTTTGTGTATTTCATATTGTCAGTATCATATTGAAGTATAAACTACTCATACTTATACTACTCATAAAAACATAACAAAAAACAAAATACATGATTTTATAGCAACAATTATAGCTAGGCACTGGTTGAATTATTTTAGCTTAAATTGGAACTATGTTTAATTAAAATAAATTATTATTGTAGTGTAACATTACCTTGACATGTTTGTTGAATTGTCATCAATTAAACCATAAGAGATGTGAGTATGTACTTTCTGAGGTGACTTTTAGAGTCCATCCAATCTTGTAACTCATTAATACTTTAAATATTATTATGTGAATCTCTAGAGTCTTGAAGTAAACTAGGAATACAAAAACAAAACAATTTTTAAGCATAGTTTAACTATTTAAAAATTAATACAAGCCAAAAAAGGTGCTCTGCTGTACAGTAGGTTACAAGTGGGTCACTGTATAATCGATCGTATTAGATTTGAATTCAATGATATAATATCATTGTATAAGAAAAACGATTCTGAGCGGAGACGGTATGTCAGT